TATATTTTAATGTGATGCTAGGCAATATCTGGATTTCAACTAATTGCCTCAAAGCTTGAGTTGAGATATTTATGGAACAGCTGCTTGTTAAGGTGTCCACCGTGGTAAACAACAGTCTGTGTACACTAATGGAGGATGTGAACCAGCATCACCTAGACGCTCTGATTGACCTTAGCCTAAAAGACATGGCCAATTTCGCCCCACACTTGATGGCTAAGCTGAACTGTGCAATCGTAAATGACACAACATATTTTGGAATTCGACATTCAGCACCTCTGCGGTCTTCAGACCATTGCCAAGAACTTGCGCCAGTCTTTGCCTAAGTCATCATACAAATCAAAACCGTCATGTTACCACACAGATGCAGCTGACCGAGGAAAGTATTGACATGCTTCTTGATTTCCTGGAACAGGCAAACCAGGCTGTTGTCCAAGACTCAGGTTTAAGTCCCCCTATGGATGCTGTGACGGCATGTGTAACATAGGGATTCCAGACTTGTATCCTATGCGAGAAGATCTATTACATTAACAATGCTAATTGCAGCTCTGAAACAGTAAGAAATCTGCTAAGAACGTAAATTAAACCCATCGTGCGGGCTGCACACCTGAATACAAACAGTTGTATAAAGAAATCATCTAACAAATTTAGCGTCTGAGCAGGAAATTCTCTGGAGTGTTAAACTTACGAACATATCAAAAGAAATTAAAGGCCATCCGTTAAATATGCAATCACTCAATAAATCACACATCAAAGTGGTCCGATCCAAATATTTTAAACAATTTCTTTCTGCGTTTTCAAGAGGGAGTTCAGGCCAGAAATATGACCCACAATATAGTAGCAAATGCTTCGGACGACCTTATTATCTTATTATCGTCATCATCATTTTATCGTATTAGATCATCAAGTTCTGAAATGCTTCTAAGAAATCAAATATGTTATAGCTGCCGGGTCGTCCAACCTTATGCTCACCGCGTTGACGATGGAGGCTCACGTGCTGTCGAAACAGTTCACCGGAATTTGCAATCACTGTATTAACTACAGCTTTCATTCAAGCCCATAGCAAACCGTGCGGGTCACTCGCGTGCCGAAAGTTAGGACCCTTGAGCAACTGGAAGGCTGGAGACCAATCTTGATGTCCTTAATTAGATTCAAATCTATGAAGTGTCTGCTATTGCCTCGAATTAAAGACCCTGTAGATCAGCACACTGACCCCTACCAATTCAACTTCAGAAACCATCACTGCACAACTGACTCTCTTGCAACGCTCATAAACTACGTTTCATGGAGTGCCGATGACTGCCACAGGTTCACACGGGCGGGATCACATTGCACCTGATCTCCAATATGATCTCTCACAGTAGTTTGGTGAATTGCGTGGCATCAAGAGACATTCATCCTCGCAAAAGACATTCATCAAAAGACATTCATCTCCTTGCGAAATATCTAAACTGTCGCCATCGGTAGTGCAACAGGCTTTCTGAGAAACAGGATGGGTATTCTGGTCACAAGGCTTTACTTACAAGCAAAACGTATGCACAAATGGTAACAACTGCCTACACGAGCCACTATAGTCTTCATATTTACCTGGTAATTTCCTCGTTCCAACGTCGACTGGTCCTTTTATACGCCTGCGGATTCTTTGTTCATCCTCGGGGATCAATCCGC